CGGCATTCGCAATGTTTCCACTTTGTATGTATACGTAACGTATATTGTGTACGCAATTACGTAGCGTGCGCGTCAAATGCAATACAATCTGACGTGCAATTAATTTTACTCGACACTTAATAAGATTGCGTAATACCTCTCCCCAAAACACGATTGCGCATCTAAATGAAACGCGTTACGAGCGGCTTGACAATTATCCGTAAACAGATGGAAAGTAAAAGATGTGCTAAGATAGATTATGCCAGGGAAAATGAAACAATATGCTGCGATATATAATCATTCTTAGAGATGTAATATTATTAATTAAGACGCGGAGGGATGGCAAGAATACACGAATGCGTGCGCGCATCTTATACGATTAAATTAATTGTGACAGTAATTAATGAACAAATAAATATCAATCTAAAACATAAAGATAGAAAATGCAAGTTTAATTGCATTGTTTATTTTTTTCAGATTTATTATGCATACATTTTTTAGCGCTATTTTATAGTAATATATCGTATATTAATAATACGAGTAAAATTAAATATTAATTAAAACACAATTGAAATTCATAAATTAGTGAATCCACTTTCTTATTTCCAGACATAGTGTGAAAACGAATAGTAGTGTTCATTTCAAGATTAGAAAGTATCTGAGGATACTTGTGTAGAATGCGAATTAAAAACGCATATCGGTGTTTCAGGGACCTAAAAACGCCACAAAGTATTATATCGCGTGTCAAGCGCCAATAGAGTCGACTGTTACCGACTTTTGGCGGATGATCTGGGAGCAGCAGTGCAAGGTAATCATCATGCTGACTGATCTCGTCGAGAACGGAGTGGAAAAATGTACGGAGTATATTCCACCGTCGGAGGTGACCGACTGTCACCGGCTTTACGGTGACTTCCAAGTTACCTTAAGGAAACGAGAAACCAAAGAGAAATATGCTATCTCTACGCTTCACCTGAAGGTAAGGATTTATTCTTAACTATACAAATTATGTTGCTTGACAATAATAATTGTTTGAAGTTCCATTCTCCGATACGTCTTGATAATTCCAATGAATTCGATGATATCGTCTCAATTATTCCATTAAATTTTATTTGCTTTAAACTGATTAATTAAGTATCAATTATAAATAACATTTTTCGAGAGAAAAGTTCAGGATATAATATCGGAACTTAAATAGTAATGCGGCTGCAAATATTCAACAGCGACATAGAGAAATTAATTAATTTGCAGAATCTGGAAAACAATACGTTCCGAGAGGTATTCCATATTTGGTACCTGTGGCCGATGAGTGGCGTCCAATCGGACGGCACAGGCCTAATAGCGGTGCTTCTCGAAGCGAGAGCACTCCAGCGTGGCGGCCCCGGACCCATCGTGGTCCATTGCAGTCCCGGCACAGGGCGCACTGGCACGCTAATAGCCCTCGACCTAGGGATTAGACAATACGAGATTACAAGGACCGTGGATGTTCCGAGGGTCGTTTACACCATCAGGAGAGATCGTGCCGGTGCAGTTCAAACCAAGGAGCAATACGCTTTCATATACAAGGTGATTGTTTATGTTTGATTTTATTTACGAGGACGCAAGTTAAAGCTCTGGTCAGCAGTGATTGTTTCTATTAAAGTTTCTATTAAAGTATTCATCAAGTTGTTATTTATTAAAAGTTGTTTTGCTTACAAATAAGTATTGGAATTTATTTAATACTCTATTTTACATGAAAAATATATAATAAAAAAGATAGAAAAGTGTTTCTATTAAAAAAATTGGATGGATTATTCATTTTCTAGTCTGATAAAAGAATCCTAGAATATACAAGAAATTTATAGAAAAGTACAGAATTTTATTGAAAAAAATTATCTTTGTTATATTTTTTGAAAAAAATGACATAAAAATGCGTAAAAATGACATTAATTTAAAACTCCAGATAAATACCAATAGGTGCAGTTTATTCAAAATTAAGTATTCTCGTTACTTTTAGCATATATACGTTAATTGCCAGAAAATAACTTAATCTATATGCATGATCGAATTCTCATGACGTCCTCGCCCTATAATCTGAAATGGAATTTTCTTTTTCGAAGGCACTAAATCTGTACGCGACAAAACTCGCCGGCGGCGTGCTGGAATCGACGTGAAGTATATACAAGAATACCCATGAAACTGGCTAGAATGTCTGATTAGCGGATAATGTGTGTGCATATGCTAAATCGAAAGATTTTACTTTATGCGAAAAGAATTCCTCCGCTAATAAAAAAAGTGGACAGATTGACCGCTGGTTGAATTATCAAGATATGCCAAATGTCACCTAATTTAAGGTCAGAGGGGGCATCTTAATATCTCGGAGGCGCTCTCAACGAAAGAGAAAAAAAGGACTTTGTGAAATGCGTAAACTATAAAACGAAATAGTGATTACGAAATATTAAAAAAATATATATAAAACAGGGTGGATGTGTATTTTATTAGAATACTGATTGTTATATGTGTAGCGACAAACTGGACTTACAAAGAACTAAATGTTACCTAAAGTAGCGAAGTGAAATTAATTTGTGATTTTCACTTTAGAGCCTTATTAATTTCATAACTTGAAATTAATTTGTGATATATGTGGATTACTTATAAGTTTGTTAAAATCAGCGCAATTCGTTTCACTGCTGATTCTGTCGAAATTTCCGCAAATTTTAAGAATATCCAAAGATATCTCTGTTGTTGTAAAAAAAAAACAGAGGTTTTTATGGTCATTTATATGTATGGATTTACGTGAATCTAAACGTATTTAAAATATATTGAATTTGTATATTGTAAAATTTAAATATTTAACATATCTCGATATTCAAAGAGAGAATCCTTTTTTAGATTTTTAGATTTTTAAATAACGACCATATTTTTAATATTCCTAAGATTATGATAAAATTTTATGTCGATATTACTCACTGTGTGACTCGCAATGTTTGCGAAATATCGGAAACCAAAACTGAAGGAAAGATAATTTTGATTGGAATTTTAATATTGAGATTAATAATATTTCTTATTTTCTAGCAATCTTACATAATAGATGTATTGCGATCGAATGTGTTAAGAGAAAATTTGGGAATATTTTAGAGTAATATATCAAGCGCGAAAAGTCGTGTGCGTGTGTATATGGCATGATATATCGCTTATATAATAATTATCCTCGATAACAACTAAATTTAATAACAGTTATGAAAAATCATTTTGTTTTCATAATAAAATTTAGACATCGCAAGCGCTGATTTTGTTTTTCTTCAGATCAATAAGTATTTTTTGTTATTATTGTTATTGTTGTTGTTTATTGTACAGAGTATGTTTCAATTCGTGATCTGTATGTGTGTGTATGTGTTGCTCTCTATAATTGTAAATACATACGTAGAGTGTCAACGATTATTTCGACAATTGTGTTAATTGACCCACTTGAGAGATTTTATTTATATATATATATTAAATATTCGTTAATCATTGTTTTTTTAGGCCAAGAAGTACCAGTGTTTTTTTGCGAGCCTAATTGTACGGACTGGAAATAAAAATGTCCGTCCACAAGTGCAATGTACCAATTGTGTATTTAAAGTAGTTAGTATATAATTATATATTAGTCACTATATATTTTTATAAGAAAGCTTTATTTGGATTATGATCCTTCGTAATAATTGTAGTAAAGAATAGAATTGATTTTGATGTGTTTCCCAAATATAAGTAAATTATTGAGCAACTAATTTTAACGATCTATCAATGTTATTTATCGATTTGTTGTATCAATTAGTTTTATTTTTATTTTATTATTTCCATGGTAAAAAAAATGTTAAAAACAGGCAATTATAATTTTACTATGCCAATATTTGATTTAATGGATGGGTATCTTTTATGAATAGCGGCGTGTTTAGGACTATATGTATCTATATCGTACGTTTTCATGATCGATCACTGTGTATGTCCTCAAAAGGAACATCATAATATTATAATTTTTAATATCATAAGCATCACAGTTAATCTCTAGCGTGATGGATTGTCGTATGTCAAATTTTTAGAGATGTATTTTATGTCTTTTACATTAAATGACTAATTGTCTATAAATAATATAATCGTAATTGTTCCATTATTATTACTGGAATAATAAAAATTGCTATCAAATACTATTGTTAATTATGTTTATAACGGCCGTATCTGCGATGATGTTATTTGCAATTGCAATTTCAACGATTAATGTCAAAGTATAAAATAATACCACTTCCAATTTTAATTGATGAATTTTTAGAATTATGGAAGTATGAAAAAAAATTTATAGGCTAACGTCACGTTATTTTTACGAACCGAAAGACACGTTACAAAAGATATTCTTACGAGTAATACTTATCTGATAGCCGATCTTTAAGAATATGCATATCTTGGACCACGATTATATATACATAAAGTATATTATATATAATAATAAATATATTATTATGTAGAAAAAATGTCAGAATCGTATTAATCTTTTGTGTACAAGAGAGATATTTATTGATATACACCAAGCTAATAATAAGTCAAAATCAAAAGCTATATAAGCTTTTATGTCTTCGAATATATAAAATATAATCATTCAATAAGTCTATATATATGCTGGTATAATTCTTATATCTTAATAATAATATATCTAACTAGGTAATGTTTTATTTTATACATATATACGCACACATACACGCGCGCGCACACACACACACACACACACACACACACACATTCACACATATATATAAATACATATTGAATATATAAAGTTTTGAGATTTTCACGTACGTATATAACACAGCAAACTTCTAAACAATATTATACAGATTGCATCATAAAGTTTGTCAAAGGAGCTCAATCTTTGGTGAAATCAGAGACAACTTTCGAATCCGTTGTATGATTGTTATTTAAAGTTGAAAATGGATAAAAAAAGAACATTTATTATGATTCTCTTTACTTCGTATTTAATACAAATTTTACGAAAGATCCTGTACAGATATTAAATAATACATTAGATTCAAATTATAATAATTTATTATGATTTTTCCATATAGATATATTCGACATATATGTCGAATATGTAATATGTCAGACTTGAACAAAAACGAACGAATCTTTTTATACAAATATGATCGAGGATTAAATCATAGAGTGCTTTATATTAATTTGTAACAAAAGAAAAAACCCACATTTTAAAGTCTTATCGAAATACTTGTGAAAATATCCCAAAAATACTATAAATTTTAAATCCTTGTGAGTAGTATTAATTTGTAATAGCAATGTATAATAAAGAATTTTATTTATGTTCTGGATTATATATATAATATGAGATTGTGTCAATTGCGCAATTTATTGCGTATCGTTAATGATTGATATTTAGATAAAATCTTATTATCTTATATCAGATAATATATTATTGTCTTTTATTAGATAATATCTTATTTATTATTAAATCGAAATATATGTATGTCGGATTATGAAACAAAGATATAGCTCTTTAACAATCGTTTTTGCATTACCAAATTTGATACTGAGAGATTAATTTAGCAATAGTTATTAGTTTAATGTTTGTACTTTTGAAGTTTTTGCAGGGTTGGGAAAGTTACTTTATAAAACTAACTCGTTACCGTTACCGTTCTTTTTTCTAAAAAGTAACTCGTTACTGTTACTCGTTACCAATTTTAAAAAGTAACTTGTTACCGTTATCGTTACTAAAAAAATAACGAGTCGTTACTATTTCCGTTAGTTTTTTTATATATAACGATAACTTTACATACAATTTTTTTTTAAACAAGATCAAATTAAACACTAAAAATTTTTAAACATTGTCTTACAAAGAAACAAGATACCAAAATGAGTTTTCAGTAGTTTTCATGTAATGCTGCATTCCAACAGTCTTATCAATATTTTCCTTTGTATGAAAATTATATATTTTCCTTTGTATGAAAATTATACCGAGTAAAAAAAGTAACGATAAAAGTAACTTAAATTCGTTACTCGTTACCGAAAAATGTAACAAAGTTACTTTTTCCGTTACAAACAAAATTTGTAACGCCGTTACCGTTACAGTTACCGAAAAAAAGTAACTGTAACGGTAACGGCGTTACAAGTAACGCGTTACTTCCCAACCCTGAGTTTTTGTATGTTAAAATCATCGCATATGTTGCAAATAATGAAGATTATGTTACATCTCATCATTGATTATTGGAAAAGAGATTTTGAGAAGATTTCTCAAATATCAAAGTTCCATTTATTTCTCTTTTCCAGGAAGAAACTAACTAATTTAAAATACTTTGTTCGGATAAAAAAATAGAAATATGAGAAAGAATGCGAAAAGTATTATTTCAACATTTCTACAATATTTACTTTTACTTATTTATAGGTCAGAGAAACGGTTGCAAAATATTAACTAAAAATTTGTAAGCGCTCCTCTTTATCGCACATAAAGAAATACAGATATAATCAATTAACTCTCTCTACGTAGCTATTGGATAAATATTTTAATTTATGCAACATATATATATTTGTATTATGTTATGTATAATTATATCAAAACGAAATAAGATAAACAGTTAGCTTAATAAAAAGTTTGTAATTATTAGGTGCCAAAAATGCAGTTAAACCATTATACATTATGTTGAATAAAATACGTATTGCAGACGTGAAAGAAGAAATTTGTTTCTATTTCTTTGCGCTCTTTTCATCAGAAGATTCATTTTTATTTCGGGATATGTTTTTTCAAGGATCATATAATATGCATAAACATATTTTTGTTTGCCGTATTTTTATCAATATTTTTTTATTAATATTAATATTTTTTCTCTCCACCAGTGTATCTATCAGTATTTTTTTTATTATATCTGTATTTCTTTATGTTGCGTAAAAAAGCATATAAAAATATTATATTATTTTACA